TTTAGTGAGTGATCACGCTGGAGGATGGTGTCATTCTCCGTCGTCGTCTCGAAACAACTCTCTCATTCGCCAGGACACATGTCTCGTACATGTACTCTCCAGCAAGCTCGAGTCGAACGTTCAGATAACGAACGATAACGCCAAACCCCACGGCGCAAGGCCGGGTGATCACCAACGCCATCCGCGGCACCCGAGTGGGACCGAGGCAGAGACACCCCCTCCATCATCCCCAGCCCAGTCCAGGGGCCCCAACAGGAGCTGCTCGCGAGCCGCAGGACACGAAACCCGCCGTTCCTCCGCCAGAGGGCTTGCTGCACTGCACTGCAACTCACATGCCCTTGCATCTGGGAAAAAGGCCCGCCTCAGTTCTGCCAAAAAGGGCCGATGGTTCGTCTCGAGGACTTGTTGTTGCTTCTGTTCTACTAACTGTGGTGTGCGTTGGTATATCGTCCGGCAGCTTTAACCTCCAGCCACCTACTCTGTATCCGGTTGAATTGCTAGGCAAGTGTCAAACATGGCCACAGCGTTCATTATCCAATTCAGGCAATCCCCGATCCATCGCTTGAAGCGCCATGGTCGCGCCGTCCACGTCAGCCTGCGCGGTCTTGTTGATCGCCTTGACCGATAGCAATCATGCTGGCCGTGTATGCAGGATTCCTGGGCTGGCTGTGTCAGTGAGTAGTGCTGATGGCAGGGCATACTCGAGTAAGTGGTAATTTGATGCGTCGCTCTGTGTGTGTGCGTGCGTGCGCGTGTGACGATGATACAGGCTTTGGTGCGGCGCCTCCGATTGACGAAGGCCCCAAATTGTCATGCGCTTCTGTTCGTTCGAGTCAAGATACGTTCGCGTAAGAACAGTACCCCTTTTACCGCATCAATGGGAAATCTCCCTCAGGCGCAAACGCATGGCCCAACGCAAGGACAGCAAAGCCATCCCAGCTCATAACAGAGCAGGAACATAGAGCACAGCAGAGTACAGCAGCCCAACGTCGACTGCACATCCATCCCCAACCAATCCTTTTCCTCACCGCCCGTTGCCCTGTTTGCCAGCAAAGCGGTCGAAAAGTAACGTAGAAACCGAGAGGGGCCAAATGAATCGAGACAATCAATCAAAGCGGCCTGTCAGGACAGGTCGTAAAAAGGGCATGCTCCAGCCAGCCCCCAACGTGCTCCTTGCTCCGCATCCAGCGGAAAAAAAAAGAAATGAAATATAGCAACCGCCCGACCAGATATACTGGTAAGCTGTGCTGAGGCCACACACACCCTCCCTCTATGCTGCCTGTCAGGCAGCCTTTCTTGTGTGTCTCCATGCGATTGGCGGAGGAACGGGGGAAGGGAGGTGGGCTGCCATTGACCGACGACCGCAAAGGGCGAAGGCGACGCGGCCCAAGAGAAAGCTGACTGGGAGAGACAGAGAAACGTGCGCTTCCGCTATTCTCTGAACTTTTGTCGTGTAGTATGCGCCGTTGCCTGCCAGCCCGCGTCGCCCGCCCTGCCTTTTCCAATTATCAACCAAGCAATGAAGGTCAGGCAGGAACCCCCTTGTCGTATTTGTCGTACATATTTTGAAGGGGGGGTGGTGCGGCGCGTGTGAGGTGGTCGGTAAGCTGGAATCCTCACTGCCCCCGCCGTGAGACAGTGAGACGAGGGTGGTCCCTCGGATTCGGCTGCGTCTGACAAAGCCGGCGGTGATTGCTCATCAGACGCTTCCTGACCAAGACAGGCACCAGGCAAGGTTTGCAGCAAGGGGTGGGGTCGAGAGGGTGTGTCGATACGATGGGGGGAGGAGATCTGTCTCGCCGGGCTGCTGGGCTGGTAGGGTGGGTGGGGTCTGCCCGGCCGCCCTGGCGACTTTTCTTTCCTTCCTT